TCTCTCTCTCTCTCTCTCTCTCTCTCTCTCTCTCTCTCTCTCTCTTTCTCTCTCTTTTTCTCTCTCTCTGTGTGCATGTTTCGTTTCTTGAATTCGTTAATAGTGCTGAAATTTAGCGGTTGGCTTCCGTCTAACTTTCTTTTTTTTGTTCTTTTTTTATTTATTTTTATTTTTTTTTGCGGGCATTGCCCGCACCGCCGGCACCGCGAGCGCTTAGCTAGTATTTATTGTGCGGCATCTACACGCTGGGAAAAATGAATTCTCTCTGGAAATGTCTGCGTGCCTCCATCTTGACGCGGTTCATTCCTCTTTTTTTCTTCCCTATCCCTCTCATACTCTATGCCGATGAAGAAGAGGGGGAACTAAAGATCCGTGGGCCGTGACCAAATTGAAACAAGAAAGCAGACCTTGATCGGTTTTCTCCACCAATTTCTAGGTGAGGTACGCGGCGCCGGTTCAGAGATTGAACAACTGATTCATGGCCAGTTCAATCTGCGTGCTGCAGAAGGTGAACTGAAAGCCGCGGAAACAACCGTTCAAGTGATGGGGACCGGTAAGAAGGTTGAGGACCTCATAAAGCAAGGGCGAATGACCCTTGACCGGTATGTTGCCAAAAATCTGGACAAGATGGAATAGGAAAGGAAGAAAAAAAAAGAAGAAGAAAAAAGAAACGAGGTAGAACCGCAACTGTCTATTGAGATAATGGAGGAGAATGTTAGGCAATTAGAAAACACACCGAGAGAAGAAAGAAGAAAGATTGAGGAATTCTGGAGACTACAAGAAGCGCAAGAAAAAGAAGAAATAATTATGGAGACAGTGGCAACGAGCTTGCAACCACAACACTACCTCATTGGAGACAGTGGCAAGACTCTTGAAGGGGAAAAACAAGGTAGGAACTGAGGAGGAGACCAGAATGGAGGTAGTCAAGAAGGAACCCCACGAGAAATTAATGAAGGATGCAATGAAGAGAGTCACGTCGGAGAACTCTCAAAGTTCTAAGAAAGAACCCGAGAGAACGTCCGAGAAGAAAGAAGAACCTGCCAAGAGGGAATAACCGACCAAAGAGGCAGAAAAAACGAAGAAAAAGGAGAAGGTGAAAATGAAATTGCTGTTTACATATAACAACAAGAAAGAGGAGAATTTGTTGTTGTGGATTGTGGAAATCCAAACATATGTCGGGACTGCACCCCTCGAGCTTGAGAGTCATGTCGTTTTTTCCACGTTTTGTCTCGGAGGAGTGGCCAATGAGTGGGTGCTGGCCGAAGCCAATGCCGCTGGTTTCGAGGATATCTGTGAGTGGGCTAAGACCCTGAACCTCAAGCAATTTCTCCAAAAGATAAAGGAGAGGTTTCTTGACAAGACGACGACCGATAAGGCCTTCGACGAACTCACTACAATTGGCCAGAAACGTTGGACTTCGGTTGATGCTTTGTCACGTGAGGTTAACAGTCTTTGGAGGTACCTGGGTTGAACTTACAGGACAATCAGGTCCTGTATATATACTCACGTGCACTGCCCGAGCCCATTCGCGGACAGCTCGTGGCAAAAGCCAAGTCAGGGAAGTATAACTATCGGCAGTTTCGTGATCTCGCTCTTCAAAGAGAGCAGATGACCGCTCAGGTGAAACGTATGTATGCTTCGATGGTAAAGTCCAGACCACTTGGTGGGTATGGTAAGTGGGTCCTCTGGCGGCAAAAACGCCAGGACCACATGTTTGTTGTGTTTGACGATGAGACCGTAGAGAAGTTACCCCTCGATAAGTCTGAGGGAGGAGGAGGTAACGACGGCAGTGAATCTGGGAAGGGTGATGTCACTGCCGTGATGACCAGCACGGGAGGCCAAAGTCAATGGAAGAAGAAGAGGAGGCCACACTCGTTTCCTGAGCATCCCGACATTGCGTTCGAGAAGCCTTGAGAGAAAATAAAGATGACACGAGAGGAATGGCAGGCCAAAATGAATAATCGCCAATGCCTCAAGTGTGGCACCGTGGGTCATGTGATAGCCTGATGCCCACTTATCAGGAACCCAAAAGCGAGTAGTCAGTAGGAGTAGCATCTGCTCCTACTGAATCGAAGGGTTTAGACGAAGACAAAGGTAAGGCGCCTACAACCCCTTCTAACCTTTCGACTCTGAAGGTAGAGGGCGACTCTTCTTCCGTCCGTCGTCCATAACACCCTGACACTGTACTTTGTTCTGTCTCACTGAACGATTCCCTTGACGAGCTCGACAATGAACTCATAGCACTACGGAGTTCGTGGGCAAGAAAGCTAAGTCTAAGGGTAAGTTAATGATCGCGGAAATTGAGATTGCGCACACGAGAGTTGGTGCACTGTTAGATCCAGGATTGCTGCGAGTTATATCTCAGAGAAGGCAATTGGCAAATTGCATCTTGGAATGAAGGTAAAAGGGTTACCTCTACCTATCACGTCTATACTAGCTGACAAGAGCACGATCACTGTCTCTCAATACGTCGATCGTGTCAAATGTTATTTCAGGACAAAGGAATGAAACAAAAACTTACACGAATTATCCTTCCTAATAGAGAAGAATTTACCTTTTGACATAATTATAGGTATGAATTGGCATGAGGAAGTCGACCCATAAGTAAAGTTCAAAGATAAGATTGTCAAACTCAAGGATGAAAAGTCCGAAACCCGAGCGATAAAATTATATCATAGGTCTGACTCTGACTCTACTCTGTCTTTCTGCTGTATGAGTTACCCAACTTTACGTTCGATGGTAGTTAAGAAGAAGTGGGATCAGGAGGTGATGATGGTGCTTGTCAAACGAGTCGGTGATTGTTCCTCATCCTATCCACCTTCTATCGAGAAACTTCTCGACGAGTATAAGGACGTGCAAATCGAGCCGACGGGAATCACTAAGCGTGCTATTAAGCACACGATTGAGATTATTCCCGGAAGCAAGATTCCCAAGGGTCCCATTTATCGAATGTCTCCCAAGGAACTTGAGGAATTGCGCAAACAACTGCAAGAACTTACTGACAAAGGATGGATTCGTCTTAGCTCATCTCCTTATAGTGCGCCTGTCTTATTCGTGCCCAAAAAGGAAGGTGAACTTCGTCTATGCATAGATTATCGAGGGTTGAACTCCGTCACTGTGAAAAACGCAGAACCACTTCTGCGCATTGACGACTTATTGGACCAGTTACAAGGTTGTAAATACTTCAATAAGATTGATCTGAAGTCAGGGTACCACCTGATCGAGGTGGCTCATGAAGATCAACATAAGACGGCATTTCAAACCAGGTATGGTCACTATGAGTTCGTGGTTATGTCTTTCCGTTTGACCAATGCGCCTGCAACCTTCCAAAGGTCAATGAACGAATTGTTTCGCCAATGGCTTGATCAGTTCGTAGTAGTCTATCTCGATGGCATTCTAGTGTATACTAAGACACTAGAAGATCACGAGAAACACCTACGAATGGTTTTGGATAAGTTGCGCAAGGGCAACTTCAAACTGAATCCGAAGAAGTCTGAGTTTGCTAAGACTGAAGTCTTGTACTTAGGGCATATAGTGAACGAGGAAGGACTAAGGCCTGAAGAAAAGAAGATTACAACAATCCGAGATTGACCACAATCTAAGACTATAACTGAGTTAAGATTTTTCCTAAGACTTGCTAGCTACTACAGGAAGTTCGTCGAAAACTTCTCTTTGATAATTGCTTCTATGAGAAGACTGCTGGAAAAAGAAAAGCCTTGGTTGTGGGACAAAGTCTATGAGTCATCGTTTAGAAAGTTAAAACATGTTCTGACTCACTACCCTGTCTTAAAGATTATTAACCCTTCTCTTCCTTTCATCGTCACGACTCACGCAAGTCAGTATAAGATTGGAGTTGTGCTACAGCAAGATGACGGTAAGGGATATAGACCTATCAAGTTTATGTCCAGAAGACTTCCGTCAGAGAAAGTGGCAAACTCCACCTATGAAAGAGAATTGTAGCCTTAGTTGTTGCACTAGACACATAAAAATATTACTTGTTAGGGAGGCATTTCACTGTCTATTCTGACCACTCTACTTTGAAGTGGATCAAGACTCAGCCTAAACTCTCTGACAAGTTGGTAAGATGGTCCGCTTTCTTAGATACGTTTGACTTTGAGGTGAAAACCATCAAAGGTAAGTCTAACGTGGTTGCATATGTTTTGTTCAGACCTGCAGATTTCTTTGGAACCATGGTCTCCTACCTCAATATTGGGACGAACTAAAAGAACAGATCCGCAAGGGTTATGGGAGTGATCCTATTTGGAATCCCATCATTGAAACTTTACGAAAGAACCTTGAACTGTTCCCTGAATATCGAATGACTGATGGCTTACTCTTCTATTTGGATCAAACCGAATAAAGATTGTGTATTCCTCACCAAGAACCAATCAAGAGTGTAATCATTGGGGAATGTCATGATGCAGAAGGTCACTTTGGTTTTAAGAAGACGTATGCCGATGTGCGAAAACGTTTTGAATGGAAAGGAATGAAGGAAGATGTACTAACCTATGTGCGGACTTGTCTTGTCTGTCAAAGGAATAAGCCCTTACATGAGAATCCGATGGGACTGTTGGGACCGCTGCCTATTCCAAGTGAACCAGGTGAGTCTATTTCTATCGACTTTATGAGTCTCACTAAGAGTCGAAATGGCAACAGTCAGGTAATGGTCATCGTAGATAGATTCTCTAAGTATGTTATGCTCATTCCTTTGCCTGCTGAAGCTAGAACTGAGTTAGTCATCCAGAAGTTTTTGATGCGATGGGTCTCTGAGTATGGATTCCCGAAAACCATCTTCTCTGGTAGGGATGTTCGGTTCACTAGTCTACAATGGCAGAAGTTGATGGAAGTCTATGGGAGCAGATCGACCATATCGTCAGGCAGACATCCTGAAATGAATGGCAAAATTGAGCAAATGAACCATCTTTGGCAACAACTTTTGTGAATATATGTTCGACCTGATCAGATAGATTGGGATGAAAACTTGCCTAAAATTGTTAGTGCCTATAATTACAGCATACATACTGTTACAGGTAGAACGCCTAATGCAATTCATAAAGGATGGAAGCCTATGTGTCTCATTGATGCGTTAACAAAGGACCAAATTCAGAGGCTACCCCCAGGTACGCGTGAATTCGCAGTTTTGTATGAAGAAGATATTAAGAAGGTTAAGGAAAAGATACAGAAAGCCCAACTACAAATAATTGAACAAGCTAATAAACATCACTGACCTTCACAATTTCAAGAAGGAGATCTTGTCTGGGTTAAGTCTAAAAAGTTTTCCTTAGAAGAAAATGTGTCTCAGAAACTGCTACATGTCTACTATGGCCCTTGGGAAGTTCTCAAGGTGATTAGAGATGCAGACGAACCTCCCTACCGCATCGATGTACCTCCAACCTAAGGACATACCTTGTCTTCCATGCGTCTAAGCTGCTACCCTATATAGAAGGTGATAACTTTCCTAATAGGCCATCTATGTTTCCACCCTCAATGAATGGAGGATATGAGGTTGAAAAGATACTGGAACATGGCCATTTTTCAACAGGTGGCAGAGGAAGACCTCAGAAGCATTATAAGGTGAAGTTCAAGTCCCAACCTTCAAATGAAGCCAAATGGTTTAGTAGGAAAAAACTCCTACCTATTTCTTCAGATACAGTTGTTGCATACGAACGCGGGTTGAATGAGAATTGATGTATTTCTGCGATGGAACTCGAAAATTGGGCCGACAGGAATGCAATAACCCATGTTGTATGCCTCGTGGAAAGTTTGAGGGTTGTAGGCCGCACTCAGACCCAGACCGAAGGGGGGCAAAACACCCCACAAACAGATTTAGGGTCTGGACGAGATATAGTTGACCAAGTTAACTATCGGTCTACCCAACAGTCAGGTACCCAGCCCAGGCCGCCGGTCAGGCATGCATATTTGTTTGTATGCAGGTACCCAGACAACATCAGGTCCAAAGGGAAGTCTGTAATTGTACACAATACAGGTCATCGGTTGTGACTCAATATGGACGATTGATGAGTATCTGCCAAACTGGGTTCACTACAAGGCAGTTTTCGGGTCACATTGGAGAGCCCCGCGACCCAAATGTACCTTTTGGTGACCCATTTGTGAGCAACCTGCAGGGCTGCGGGAGGACCCTCTTTGAGACCACCTCCAGAGGTGGTCTCAAATTACCTTTTCAATTTTTCTCCGTGAGGTATTTCAAGAAATTCGTGCATGAGGAAAATAGTTGTGAGTGTCAGTTCAATATTGAAAGAAAGAAAAAAAAACCTCAATATATTTTTTTGGGTAAGCAGTATGACTACGTGCACTTCCTGGGAGGTGCAAATGTCAGGGCCGCTACTATGTCCTTCGTGGAGAGAGGACGTGCGTGTGACCACATGGGCACCCAAAGGAGCAAATACATGGTACCAAATGTGCCAAATATTTGCGCCTTAAGGTCCCCGTGTGAGTATGCTCTAAGTCTCAATTGAAATATCATTTGCCATTTTGATTCTTTTTTGGGGAAAGTGCTCCTGAGCCACCTTTTCAGTTTGAAATAGGCAAGAAAAGACAAAATGGCGCCCTTTTGTTTTCTTTTTTTTTTTCACTCATGCCGAGGGTCAAAATGGCGCCGTTTGAGTTTCAAAATGTGCAAGTTTAGCGGGGGTTCGAAACTGTGGCCGTTTATTTGAAGTGGCGGGAATGCAGATTTAGTAGCGATTTTTTTGTCGTTTCGAGAACTGCAAAAGTTGCCTATTCCAAACTCTAGGTGTGACCCAGGAGCCGTTGCCCTTTTTTTTTTCTTTCTTTCTAACAGAAAAACACCCTCATTATATTCTGGGAGGGAACCAGTCCGGTTACTTATCCCCGACAAGCATGAAAACAACAGAGAAAAGAAATGAAAGAACAAGTGTCTCAAGGTAACGAAAGCAGCGGGAGACTACGTGAAGTACCCAGTCCTACCCTGTTGGCCCTGATTAGCCATGTTCCAAGATTCCAGCTTTGCTGCCTTCTTGCAAGGAGACGACAGGAAATCAGTACCTCGTAATCAAAGATGAGAACAAAAAATAAAAACCTGGACAATCTAAAGAATGAATGATTGAAAACTTCAGCCTCCAAATAATCAGAAAATGAAATACTAAAAACAGGCCCTTTGGGGGGTAACGGCCTCAGAGATCATCAACAACAACTCAATCGTTGAAAAAGACTTCAAAAAACACTTTTTTTAATTACTAAAAAAATCAGGTATAATTTGCGAAGTACCACTATAAGTTGAGATATATGCCAAAATGCCCCTAAAAGATGTGGGTAGAGCGAAATACCCCTCTGACACAGAAAATGTTTTGCAAAATGGCCCTGACATCGGTTGGACCTGCCATCTTTGCAAAATACCCCTACCGGGTACAGTCCATCTTTGCAAAACGTTCTGGTACTTGCCAATTTTTCCCAGGCCCTATGTATTTGGTGCCCTGCCCCCTCGCAGAGAGAGAGAGAG